GCACACAGTCGCACGGTGATTACGGTCGTATGCGAGTTTCATACGGCGTTAACGGAAATAGAAGAACGAGGAGAGAAAAATCAGATGCAAATGTGACCGAACTGAAGAGTGCTCGGAGGTGTATTTCGCAGAAATACTGTTAAGTACCGGATATTTAAAACACTTGTAAATGCTAAATACGGTACTTAAGGGGGTCAAAGGCAGGAAAACAAGATAGAGTCTCCCCTATCTCTGTCCCTCCGTCAATCTGTCGACGATGCATCGGGGAGCGGAATTTGTAATTTTTCGCTCGGCAAGAAGGCAAACCGACCAATCACCTGCGTTTCACTGACCCGATCTACCGTCGCGACGGATCAAAACCGTCGTCGGCGAACCGGCCAATTACCAATTACGATCGGGCAACATGAAGGACGGATCTGCGACGTGTCCGGTCGCACGGCCGACCGACGTTGCGTCGTCGTCTTGGCCAGGGCCCATTGGCCCACGGTGGGTCCATTAAAGAGGCCGGGTCGAGAGGAAGCGCGGCGCTTTGAAGGAACCGGCAATTCGAACGTCTCACTGTCTCGCCATTTGCGAAACGCATTCGGCGCTTCTCGAGATCTCTACAATGCCTGTTATTTAAGCCACTCGCATTGTCGCAATGTATCGCGACGTCTGTCGCTGGCGATGTGTTACTTCATCGGGACGTGGTATTCTGGCGGCGCACTTTCGCTAAGAAGTTACATACGACCCTTTGCGTTGCGGGAGGGCGCGGATTCAGATTCGAAACGAGAACCGCCGCTCGATCGGCATCCTTCGGACGCAAAGGCCCGACGAGGACAAGTGTGGACTTCATTCGCAATATAAATCCGGGAATTACATTCAAAAGAAGAAGTTAATCAAGTTAAAGAAAAGAATTATTTGGGAAATTACATTAAATTCGTTTCAGAAAAATAATAAGAAATAACAATGGAATGAAAATAACGAATAATATAAAAATCACGAATAACAGAGGAAAATAAAAGAAAAAGAAAGTTAAACTGAGAAGCTAGGAAATTCGAGTATTTAAATTCCCCGTTCGTATTTCGCGCGCGGCTGTATCGTACCTTGAAATAAAACGGACTTCTCTTAAGGCCAGCCTGCGCGCGTGTTATTTTCGGAGCCGCGCATTTTCTCTGGGAAGGAAAACTCCCAACGGTAAACAAATCCACCGTGGAATCTACCGTTCGCTGTTCGCACAGTCGATCGATTCCACTTAATTCGCGAGTCCCTCAGCGAACGCTTTAAATGCACCTGCGTACATGTACGACTCGTCGATCTCTCGCGACGCGCGTTCAAGGTAGAAAGGGTGAGAAACAAATGGACAGACAGATAAAGAGAGAGAGAGAGAGAGAGAGTAAAGTGCAGAGCTAAAAGCGACGGGCCCGCCATGATCGATCTCCCCCGTCAAAGGCCAGACATGCTTCGCGCGTTCATACTTCGTCTCGTCCGCCGTTTTGACCCTCCGGTGCCGCGTTCTCGCCTCTACCACGCGCCAAAAGTAAGAAACCGCGCGCGCGACGCTCGGTGATTCTCGTGGCAACGAGAGAACCGATTATATTAACCGGTGGAAGTAGGTACCGCTGCGAGCGAGCGAAGAAACGAGCGAGAAGTAAGCGCGCGCTCGTACGTAATCATCTTACCGAGCCGACGCACGTATGTGTCTGGGTCACGTGCGCGCGTGAGCGCACGTGCGTGTGTCCGTAGAACGTCGCGCGCGCGTAATGAGCCGCCGACGAGAGACGATGCGGCAGCGATGACGACGACGCGCGCGATGTCGACATGTGGTGCAACAGCGTATATTCTCAGGTGCGAACGGCGGCGCGGGATCCTCCGCCGATCGTTGAATTCCCGCGAACGTGCATGCGCAAATATTCCGGTGTGACTTAGGCGCGAAGGTATGCCTCGATTTTCCGCGAACCTCGGCTCGAATAACAGCACACCGGAGCCGAGCGTCGCGATCGCGGAAACGCGCTGATTAACGAGCGCATCGCGCGGCTCAGGTAGACGCGATCACGCCCGGTGCATTTATACGAACCCGTGTGAGTGTTACTATTATTATTGTTATTTACTAGGAACGGTGGTAATTTGGAATTTACTGAACGAGGCAGCGAATATTTCCTTCTTCTTTTTTACACCGACGTATTACGTAAGGAGAATACGAAGCTCTTTACATGGATAAAGTAGTAAATTAAACTCTCGCGAGAACCGAACAGAGAATAATAAAAAAAGTAAATAAATGAAAACAGAACTATAGACATTTCGAAACAAGAATTTGCACGATCCAACGCTGCATAGGGAAAAAGATATCTTTAGATTCAGTAAAATTTCTTTAATTGAAACTTTATCTTTTGGAGCAAACGAATGTTTGATTCAACAAACGGGATTGTTTAGTTTTTCAAACAATATAAATATCTTTACACTTCAAATAGTATGTTTCTTTTATATTTTCACTCAACATTATTATGACTGTCACGAGTAATAAATGATTTAAAAGAAGTAACCTTATTTTAGAAAAATATTAAAAAATTTTCGTCCCAGTGGAACAATATGGAATATATAATAAAATAAATGTTTCTTTTACTGTAAACCAAATCTTATCTCCTCTACGTAATATTATCTTTCCTACCAAACAAAATGGTTGATTCTAATCGGACAACATTTTCATTGAAACAAAATAACATTTGATGATATCAAACTACGTCGTTTATGTTAAACAATCCCAAGTGTCAAACAAACATGTGTGCCAAATCCAAAGAAATCTTCTTTCTGTGTAACAGTGTTATGAGACGCGTTAAGAAACGTTGCAAAGATGACGATTGCGAAACCGTAGTTAGGATAATTGCACAGGCATGCTCGTTTAACCCCTCCCTTCTTCGTTCGAGCGATCGTTTCTCCCGTAAACGGAGGAAAATCGTAGCCGCGAGCTTCGTTTCCAAGTTCCCGACGAGGTGGCACTATTGAAATTCCGCGAGAACGGGCGTCACCTTTCCCCATATTTCTTTTCCCCGACTCGTTCACCCCGATTCCCGCGTATTTTAGCGCCAATGCGCGAAAATCGCCGCCGAATTTGAGGAACACCGGAGACAGTCGGGCGAATTTTCCGCGACGCGAATTATAAATGCGCCACCTTGGTCTTTTTTCACCCCGCCGGGCAAATTGCGTTACCGGTAAATCCCCGCTTCTCTCGAGGCAATTTAAAAAAAAGCATCTATCATTGCGCGTGGCTTATTTAAGTTACGCGAGTCGCGGCCATACCTCTTGTCGCGCACGGGGAATTACTATAGTTAGACACGGCGACACACGTGACGGAACGGCGCCTATTACGAGGAAAACGCGCGCGCGCGCGAACGACCGCGAAAATAATCGAAACCGTTGCGTGACGCACGATAACGATAACAACATTGTTCATCACTTTGCCGTTATTAGACGCTGAGCCGTATCACGGAAAATAGTAAAGTCAAAATAGCGAGACGCGCTATCGATGGAGATTTCGACGGCTTATCGTCCGACCCGTGAGTTTTCAAACCGAAAGAGAAAAAAATTAATCGACAAAGAAACTTGATAGAAATAAATAGATACGCTGATAGATGCTTTTATTAACGCCTCGGAAAGATATCTTTAAAGGGGCGATCTGTTACCATAGATAATCAAGTCGCAATCGAACGAATTGAAGCGAATTAAATTACGCGGTGGTTGATCACAGGAGGAAGCACGTTGCGAATAATTGACATCGTACATTCATAGATAGATTCGCTCTTTCGACTCGCGAATTCGACATTTGATTTGTTTCACTGATTTTGCCGCTTCAGCAAATTTCCCGGGAAAAAAGACGGGAAGAAGAAGCGCGATACTCGGCGGCGTGACGGCGGGAGATCAGCGGCGAGTCGACTTTTCTTAGCCTCGACACAGTTGCGAGCGGCGCGCGGAGACACGGCACGAGGAGGCGGTTTTCAACGGCAGGTCGAGGCGGATCGACGTCACGGCGACCTATCAACTCTAAGCCTTCGACGATCAGCGATCACTGGCGTCATCGGGAGAGAAGGAGAAGCAGCGGCCCGGCCGGCAATTAAGTCACATTTACGTGCGAGCAACATTCCCCGTCAATATTGACTCGCGGGAATGACGGCGCGAATCAGTCGTCATTGTCTGCGTTATTTCGCAAGAGGCTTATAAGCGAATACGCTCGATATCTCGCGCATTGTGGATGCGCGCGCATTACGATTGAGAGAAGAGAGGAGAAAAATTAGGTAGCAGAGAAGGCGGTGCGTACGCGCATATACAAAAGCGTGAGTGCGTTTTAAGTGAGGGAAGGTGTGAGTGAGCGAATGTGTGGGTACATGCATGCGTACGTGAGAAGGAGTACGTTCGGGAGAAAGAACGTCGCGCGTTTAATGGCTGTTGAGCGAGAACGTTGGAAAATACATCTTCAAGGGGGATGCACCGCAAATATCTTTCTTTCGAGTCTGCGGAATCACCGTGGGTCGGCGAGAAAATTCATAGGAGGCTCACACGGCCGGCGCATTTACAAGTTAAACAGACTCGAAGAACGCGGCGGGGACGGAAATACTTTCGCGGAGAGGTTTATCGCGCATCCCCCGGCAAATAAGCTGTATACGCGAGTCCCGTGAGAATTTACATAACCTGCCGAGAAGTTGGGCGCGTGAGATGGACGAGCCGCGTTAAACGATTGCGAATGATGCCGAGATGACTGAGATGATACACACGTCGAAAGGACGGGAAGGCCGCTTCTTTGAGCGAGCGGTGTGATTGACGAAGCAATGACGACGATTGGGAAATTCCCGAAATGTTATTCCACCCGCAAGTGCAAAAGCGTCGAAACCCATGCATATACGTATATAGTATTGCATGTACATCACAGTGATTAGGTACAATACGAATACTTGGTTAAGGGGAATACACCGAGACAGAGTAGCGCTACAAGCACGAAGTACATATCAATATCTGGATGAGTGACTCACCCGATTCGGATGGCGTCTGTATGCCTAGATTCTCCAGGTTGTGCGGCCGGTTTTGGTAGTAACTGTGATCCGTTAGACAGGAATACCTCAACCTGGCACTTATTATCTCCCCGCACAACGGCGCCTTCGACTTTTCGGGTTTTTTGAATCTGATGACCGATTCACCCTGCGGAAGGACCACGTCGTTGTCCATTGGAGCATCCTCCGCATTCTGGTTTTCGTTCGAATGCGGCGGTGATGGCACTGCCAGGATGATGTCACTATCAATCGGCCAGATACCTGTAGTGTTTCTCGGGACGCTCTCTTCGTCGCTGCTGCCGTCCTCCGATGCGTCAGAACTCGACTCCGAATCCGAGCTAGATCCGTCCGATTGCTCGTTGGGCATTTCGATGGCTTCATGCCCTGGCAGGTGGTCTGCTTGCCGCGGTTTGTACGCCTCTATTGCTGCTTTGAACGATGTTACAAGCAGCCTTCCTTGCGGATGTTCGGGCAGTTCTTCAGCCCGACGCAATGTCTCCACCATCAACCGCTGGTAGGAACCCATCGGAAGATACGTGGGTAGAGAGCACCGCATTTGGTATTGCAGACGCTCCTGTCCTGACATGGTGTCAACAGAGTCGGACAGGAGGTTTCTCGCCACCTCGGAGGTCGCCCGGATGTCTGCTTTGTCCTCCAGTATCTCGTTTTCCTGGATCGCCCGGTCGACTTCTATGCATTTCTCGCATAGCTTGCGATCTTTTCGCCTGGATCCGTTATATATCGCGCCAACTATGTAGTTCTTCGCACAGTTGTTGGAGCAGCGCGACCCGGCGAATCTATACCGGTGATCCTGCGTACAATATCCGCTCATCATGCATTTGGTACAAGATGTTGCGTTCCTGCCGGCTGATTTCCTCACTACGCTCAGCCAGTCGCGGATTATTCTTTGTACCTTCCGCATATCTCGCGGTTGTACGAACATCTTCGGATCCAAGTTGACATGCTTCATTATCTCCCACATTTCAAACAGGAAGCTTATCAGCCTGCTCATGTTCTGGCTGTTTTTGAATATGTGGGAGGGCCATCGGCAACTCGGCTTCGCGAGATACTGGGCGCAGACTTTAATATCCCGGTCGAAATCTGAAAAAAGAAATAAACAAAGATTATATTATTTTATTTTTATTTATTTTATCTTTCAAATTCACGCACTTATATATATTAATATATAATATTATATATATATATATTAAATTATATAATATAATATAATTAATAATGAGGAAGATTACGCGACATATGTAATATAGTGGATCAAACGAAACGAAACATCGGTGAGATTTACTCTTTTTCGTATAATATGCTTATCTAAAACGGCGATTTTTGCGTTAAAATATATTACTCTTCGTTGCTCTTCGTTGTTATACGACAAATCAAACTTTTTGACCGACTTAATATTTTTATTACATATGTAATTTACGTGGATAATGTGTGCAAGTAATCGAGAATATTTGATTGTAAATACGATATCCGTCGTGCTTGCAGATTAAGTCAGGTTGAACAAAAATGTTCTCTACTATTTTGCAAGTAACCGTGTAAAATGTTGAGTTATAGTAGTAGAGCCTTTTTCTACTTCGATACTAATAGCAATTGATATCGTGAATTCGTAGATAGATCTGTGCTCTTTTCATTCGCGATTGTCTTTATTTTACTCATTTATCTATTAATTTATTTTATTATTTCAGCAAATATCCCGGGGAAAAAGGAAGAAATTAGTAATGACAAGAATAATAACAAATATAGACGATGATGAGTGAAAATGATAGCGAAAAAATATATCATCACACGCGCAAATTATTAGGTTGTTACAAAAGTTCTGTCAGTTTTTTAATCACGAACTTGAGACCAAAGACCTAGAAAATCAACTGCAAAGAAACATGTATAAACTGGCAAAACTTTTGTAACAACCTAATATATTTATGAGTCAGTCCAAATTATATTGAATCGTTATACTGAATCAGTCGGCAAGTTCGTTTTTTGATTTTCCATTCGGTCACTTTCTTCGATAGAAATACATGAATGCTGTCAGAACATTAACGAACCATGGATAACGACGACGATTATTTCGTTAATGTATAGTAAACTTCCATTGACATGCGACAAGGTCTGACTCGAAAGTTCGAACGAACTTTTATCAGCTGACTCAATATAACAATAAGCTGCAAATCACTATGTTATAACGCGTTTGTGCCGTCACATATGACGCGATCGATCGAATTGACAAATCGGTGCCACTATTACAACATGCGATCCATTATTCGGGGAATTTAATTGATACGTCTCCGATCAATTTTCCGTGTTCTCAAACGGATACGAAGCTGCGGAGCGGAATGACGGCAAGGCGGGAAACCGTCGGACGACTTTAGCTGTCAAAGAAAGATCGTTTCGACTCGGCGTCGAAAAAAGATAAAGCCGGTCTCGTTGATCGTTGCGAACGCGCAGACAGCAAACGATCACGCGTGTAAACAGCCGTGTGTTGGCAAACGAAAGGAACCGCCGAGGTGTCGTTTCACGTGCCGCTCTTACACGTACGTATGTGTGACTCTGTATGTTTGACTGCGTGAAATTAAATTTAATATAAATGGATCGCGAATCTGTTGATTCGTCGTGCCCGTACAATCAACTAGGTGCATCGCGCGGGAATATGCACGGTCGTTGCACTTGGTGCGAAACACCGTGTCTCTTGATAGTTTATATTATCTCAGGTATTCCGGCGGCGAATTCCCCTTCTTCTACTCTTCTACTCGCTTAACTTACCCTCATCAACACCATCTTTGATACACCGTCTTTGACCGCGATAAATTTTGCTGACAATGTTTGTTAAATGAATTTTTTTCTTATTTTCACACTTTTCGAGAATATGAAGCAATGGTTATTGCCCTACTCTGTTTATACGTTATATGTATGTGTGTATGACTGTATTCGTACTTTTGAATTGTTACTATGAGAACGCACGGTTTACCATATTCTTAGCGCGTACGGTCGGCGATCGAAACGATTCATCGCGCTCCATTTGAGAGAGATACGTATTCGTTAATAAAATCTAAACATGCCATTCAACGTACCGCCTCCGTTAAATTCAATTTCACGCGTCGTGCGCCGGAATTTATCCCGTTTATTCGCGCGCGTGCTCGCTGTACACCTCGAAGGACGCGATCGTGGCCCCGGTGTGTTTCTTTCCTCTTTAGGAAAAGCAATTTCACCGGCGGCATAAAAATCGTCGAATCGGGCCGGCCTCGGTGAGAGAGAAATTATTCGAGCGATCTGATAAAGAACGAAGCAGCTTTCGTCCGGACTTTCGAAAATGTACGACGGGCGCGCGTATGCGCACGCACGACACGATCACTTACCGTGTGATCGAACCTCTCCGCCTGCCTACACACGCCGTGAAACCGGTCGCCGGCTTCAGATAAGCTGGGTATGCCCGGCTTCCGCCGAACATTATCGCTGGAGCGTGTAACGCGTCGACGACATTTCCCGCTAGATCGCTAATTAAGGGCGAGCCGATGAGAAAAGTCGCGCCTGGAGCGGCGCGCGACCGCGATCACCGAGAGCAGGGCCGCGCTTTTCCACCGAGCCGATGATCAATGAAGGCGCGGCGCAAGCGCCGAATTATTTTTTATCGTGTCAACCTTATCGCACGATCGAATAATCATGCCCGGGTGGAATCAGTCGCGAAAACGAATCCGCGCGGGAAACTCAGCGGAAGACGCGCGTCTTCACGGACGGCGCTAGAGAAAGAGCGGTGATGCACAGTATGTGGTAACGGAAAGAGAAAGGACTCAGGCACGGTGAAGGAAATAAGGAACAAGGAGTGAAATCTTGGGGTAATTGGGAATAAGATATTAAGAATGTATTTAATTAGAATTTTAAAGAGCCGAAAAAACCGGTTTCTTTCAATTTCCACGGTTCTTTTCAGTTTCTTTCCGTGAGAAACGCGAAAGAAATGTTTCAATGACATTTTTCGCGTTTTAGTAAAAAGAAAAAAAAAAGTAAAGAAAGAACTCGATCACAGTTGAACGTATTCCTTTTTCGGCAAATATACGGGCAGGTAAAAACACAAAGATACGAATTAATTAAGTATACATTATGACGTTTAAAGAGGGACAGAGATACTTATCTCGGTTGTCCACGGCTTATCATCCCGGCGAGGAATACGCTTTTATCGTCTTCGAAGTATTTAAATATATACAAGAAAACCCAAATATATTCTTCACGATAAATGTGCAAAAATATGGAAAAACGCGCCGAACGAGAAAAATAGAAATGTCCTGCGCGCGTCCAACAGATGCGATCTCGGGAGATCAACGGGAGGCGTCGTCGCGGCTCATTACTTTTGGCGGTAAAACTTCAGAAGATAAGAATCGCGCGGATCGTGGCGGTTTTTCACAACAAAGAAGAAGAAGAAGAAGAGGAAGGAGTAGAAAAAAGAAACGAATAAACGCGCGAATATCTGACGAGCGGGTGTAAGGCACCACGCGAGGAAGCTGAATAGAGTAGAACAGAATAGAACGAACTTTATTATGCTCTAGGATAAATATTGTGAGAGAAACGATTAAATTAACACATGATGAAGATATAGACAGTTTCGCAAAAAAAAAGTACAAGGATAAAAAAAATGTTAAGGAACGTCATAAAACGATCGATGATATACAATGACGAGATGCATATGTTTGTGTGTCGCAGATGACACGCAGAAAAAAGTTAGACTTAAATCAAGAATATCTGATATAATCAAGAATATCTATATAAAACATCGAACAATTATAGATATTTTGAATTCAAGTAATACTTGCATCGATATAAATTCAATCGAATCAAGACTAGAAATCTTCTAAGAAGATTATAATATTCTCGTTGTTATAATATTATATATGAAAACATCTATTCTTGATTTAAGACCGATTCTTTTCTGCTTATACAATGAAGTTTCACGGATGATAGTGAAATAATAATATGTAATAGTATTGATAGAAATAGAAGCGGAGAAAAAAAGAAAGATATCGTATCCCTCGCGCGTTTTTCCAAGATCGAAGACCGGCAAGCAAGAGCGGAATTCCGGTTACGCTTTCACGCCGAGCTAAATCACGCGTCGTCGCGGAATCAGCGCGATCCTTTTGACACACCGTGTACCGGCGTCGGAGATCGCGACGGGACTCGCGCACGCGTTCGTTATTTACGAGAAAGCCCGGAGCGCGCGAACTCTCGTCGCGAAAAATCGACTGAATAATTTAGCGCGCGACGACAGACGGACGGATGGACGGACGATTCACGTGAGCGTTGCGTTTTGCGCATAAGCACTGACGCACGCGCGTACATACACACAAGGAGGTAGCCAGTGAAAAAGAAAAAAAAAATATACATATATATATACTTTTCTATAGTACACACCTGATACATCCCGGAGCGCGAGAATGGAGGGGAGAGCGAGGAAGAGGGAGCGGCGGGCGTAGTGGGAGAGGGGGGGGGGGAGGAAGGTG